GCATATATAAAGACACCCATACAGTATATATTTAAAAAATATTTACATGTATTTACATGTATATATTTATATTAATATAATTTATACTATATATAAATATATTTAATGTATAAACACAACATATTTTTCTTAAAAGGGTCCTCAGATGCCCATTTTCCACAAGTTGATATGATTCTTTAGGGTCTTAATGAAAAGTCTGTAACATAGTTTGGTTAAAATTTCTCAATGGTAGTGTAAAACGACACCGTTTTTACCATCAAAAACAGCTCTTTTCAGAGCAAGCTGTTTTCTTGCATGCTGCTTTAAATGCAAATGAGCTCTGCTCGCCCCGCCCCTCTCTTCCGAGCCGAGACTGTAAACTTTAGCCGCATTCATCGTGAAACTGGCTAACTAGCACGTTGTTAGGAAAGGCGATTTGTAAAGATTTATTAAAAAACCTTACACTCACTTGACGTCACATAGACAGGCATCTGAGATCGGCTCGATTTGAGAAAGGGGAAATTATTTAATGAGATTAAAAAAAAAACACTGGGGGGATCTTTATCATTGGTGGTTATGTATACACACTGCCAACACACATTTCAGTTCAAACAACTTGTAAAAGTGCATGTCGCATCCGATGACTCCTTTAAGAAATATGAGAATATGAAAACTCATTATGTACTTACCTCTTGACTTTTTCTTCTATATTTAGAGTTGGTACGATTTTTTAAAGTTTTTGAAAGAAGTCTCTTCTGCTCACCAAGGCTGCATTTATTTGATTAAAAATACAGTAAAAACAGGAATATTGTGAAATATTATTAGAATTTAAAATAACTGTGTTCTATTGTAATATATGTTAAAATGTAATTTATTCCTGTGATCAGAGCTGAATTTTCAGCATCATTACTCCAGTCTTCAGTGTCACATGATCCTTCAGAAATCATTCTAATATGCTGATTTGCTGCTCAAGAAACATTTATTATCATCAGTGTTGAAAACAGTGGTGCTGCTTCATATTTTTGTGGAAACCGGAATTTTTTAGGATTCTTCGATGAATAGAAAGTTCAAAAGATCAGCATTTATTTAAAATAAAAATATATTGTAACATTATAAATGTCTTTAATGTCACTTTTGATCAATTTAATGGATTCTTGCTGAATAAGAGTATTTATTTATTTCAAAAATAAAAAAAATAAAAAAAATAAAAATCTAAGCTAAATAATAGTTTTTATTGCCAAAAAAGCATCATAAAGATAGTCCATACAACTTGCGCACTATATTCCAGGTCTTTTGAAGCCATTCAATAACTTTTTGTGAGGAACAAACTAATATTTAGACAGAAGACATACGAACATTTAAAATAATAAATCTGATGCTTGCACTGCATGGAAAAGTGCAATAAATATTTTTATTCCTTAAACTGTGTGATACGATGATGAGCACATCATTTTTTTGGTGTCTATCCCTTTAAGAATAACAGAAGTCAATGGGAAGTGTCCATTTAGATAGCTAGATAAACGTGTGTGTGTGTGTGTGTTAATGACAGTTTGCAGAACACCAGGATTTTTTTAGACAAAGACATCAAGATCAGTTTCCTCTCCTGAGGGCATGGAAGATCTCTCTAACACACACACACATACGTGAAAGAAACATAAATTGGCTTCTTGTCTCACGGTCTGGCATCTGTTGTTCTACACGGTTTAGTCACTAATTAACAATTACCTCTGACCCCACCCCCCACCCCTCCAAACGCAGGGATGGCTCCATCAGTGTGATTGATGACAAACATGCGGAGGGCGGTGGATCACATTGATTGATGACTCACTCGCTCCACATGTTGACCTTGACCCCACCCTGAGGCCTACAACACTAACCGATTCATAGAAGCCCCGCTTCACCTTAACAAACTCTATTCTCATTCCCAGAGGAAGTCGTCCATCTCCCGATGCCTGCCGGAGTGCATCCGACGAGCTCTAGTAATAATATTAACCTGAACAAAAGCAAATCTCATTTAACTCCTGAGTAGATATTGATGGTCACGTT